TACATTTCAGAGTCTGCATTTCTTTTACCATTATTTGAGTAAAAAATGATAAATCAGTTCTAAAACTTTTAACATAATATTTTTTAAATGTCTTTACTTTCGGCATCTTGGGAGAATTTCATCTTCCACAATTGGCACTTACAGTAGGTCAGGGCAATTTATCTCATAAAAAATCAGTGTCGTGTATATATCATAAATAATATTTTAATATTTGTCTCTGTCATATTTTAAAGAGACAATGTAAGTAATATTTAAATGTAATGAGAGTGGAATATATTCACTTTTTTGTAATCCAATTATGCATGTCTTGGTTACATCAAATATATTACAATCAACCAGGCCTACATTTCAATTCAGTTTCAGCTACAGTTTATATTTATTTAGGACTCAGTCACAATTATCAAAAAGCACTTTATATTGTAAAGTAAAGTTTTAATATAACTTAAATTATTAAGTTTTAGACTCACCTTTTCCTCTGCTTGGATTCTGTGTCTTACCCATGTCTGACCGAGATCCTGAGATGGAGATCCTGGTTTGGGTCCCATTTAAACCTCTTGCTTGTTACTTTTTCTTTCACTTACTGGTTTTGTTTACGTACAAAAAAGGGTTCAGAGTAACCCTGTACAGTGTAAAAGTTGGAAATGGCTGACTCATCTCCCCAAAACCAAATAACCTTCCCCTGAATCACATCTTCTGTTACCGAGCCTCCCCAATGGGAATAATAATGGCCTGCTCTAAAGCTGCAGTGCACGAGCCATTCATTTCTTTGTGTAATCACAACTATAGCTGAAACACTTGTACTTGCAAAACTTTGTAGCCTTGAACAAGTCATTTTGGACTATGGTGACTGGAGGTCTTAACCACATTAAAGTTTCATATTGAATTGAAATGGTGCAAACTGGCTTCCACTTTTGAGTAAGCTGCCAACGTGGTAGAAACTGAAATTCAGGAAAACACAGACGTGATTCATTTCCCTGTTTGCCAGCCACTGTGAAAGGTTGTTGCACATATCCTGTTAACAGATTAATTGTTCCAATTTAGAACTGAAGCATTAATTAATGGTACGTTTTTAACAGTCTTATAGGAATGGGATCCAATTGATGAAAGACTGAAGAAATTATTATATAGTATGGTTTAATTTTTGGTCAGCTCTCTTAATACTATGCTTCAGAGTACTCTAGCTTTGTTAAAGTAGTGAGTTTGCTGAGAAAATTTACTTTAAATTGGGCTGGCAGTTCTGGCAAAAAATTAAGCCATAACCAATGCTTGTTTTCTCAAAGAGTTTGAGAGGTTTTTTGGCCAGCCCACAATTTCAGATGATTTTTCAGGTTGACTTTTCACACTAAAAAAGTGATCAGCAATGCTGCTTTACCAGGTGTAACAATTAAGTTAATTAAGTAACAT